ACATCTTCTGTCAGATTCTGAACAAGATACAATGACATGTGATTGGCAAGACTATTGGTTATATATTAGTGTGGAATCACAAGCAAAGAGTACTGGGATTTTTCACAGTCAACGATCTGAAATCTATTGAATAATAAATTGGTTGTGATCACATTTTGCAGGCAATCTAACACAACCATTGATGTCTGCCTCTTTTTCTCCCACAGATCTTGATGAGCAAGAGAACAAAACGAATGAAAATAGTCATGGCAGAAAAAGGTAGAAATGTTCAGGACTGCAGTGTTTTGTCTTTGAGTGCAGAAGCAAACATCTTGTGTCTTGGGCCTTGGCGCTGTCATTAATCTATCTATCTATCTATCTATCTATCTATCTATCTATCTATCTATCTATCTATCTATCTATCTATCTATCTATCTATCTATCTATCTATACATCTATCTATCTATCTATACATCTATACATCTATACATCTATCTATCTTATAAATACAAATAGCCACTTGTGTACATTGACCCCCTGAGAAAATGTTTGTATCCATCTAAAATCACAGTTGCCTGGCAGTGTATGACATTGCGGCAGAATGTGCCCATCATAAGACTATAGGGAAGCATTATGGTACATTCAGTACAGACATTACATCAACAAAACATGCACTTAAGCTCACTGCTACCCATTATCAATTTCCTTTAGACATAGTGCATGAATTTGTGTTCTTACTACTCACTCAAAAATTCCCTGGTAGACACATGCACACCTACACAAGAGTTAGTAATAGTGGATACCTTACCCTTTCCTCATAAGTTTTACTGTCTTTAAGTCTGTGTGCAGAAGTCATACAACTCAATTACATCTCATATACAGCAGCGTTTATCCCCTTAATTGCTAAACCACAAATATAGGACATTCCCTATTTTTTCAGGTGCACTCTCTTGGTCAGAATATCTCTGTGTGTAAAAAAAAAAGTTCTGATTTGCAGCTGCAGTTTTTTACCAAAACAGATCATCGAACTATTCTTGTACACAGAATCTCGTAAACATCATCGTAAACAATAAGATGAAAAGGGTTATTTTCTTTTAATATGTAATATACCTATCTTAATAGTAAAACCATGGATGAAATAGCTGAAAATGAGACAATAAAAACGTCACAGATACTCAAGTGCATACTCTATACACACACGATAGAAAGTCAATAGCTAGAAGCTGTTAGTCTGCTTTGTGTGTCTCTCCCTGACACATTTTTCTGCACCCATCCTCATTTAAGGAAACTAAACAACCTTGTAGGTGTCTTATTGTCGCCATGGAGATGGACTGAAATGACCCCCTTCAAAAAGGAGCCCCCCTTTTCATCAGCCAAAGCCATCTGACCAAAGAATAACACCAACAATGGCCCCGAACCTGGCTCTTCAACACACCTTGACCTGAGCACCATATACACCCAAACACAAACGCCCTCAAAATTACACAATAAGGGAGAGGGAAAATTCTTCATGTTTATTCATCCCCTATACCGCTGCATTATAAAGAATTCACTCCCCGATACCCCTGCACCTGACCTTCAGTGTTATTAAGGGGCCTTCTTTATTCCTGACACTCTCACAGCTCTCCCCTCAAGAAAGAAATTCATCCATTTTCCAACAACTTACCACCCCAGGCAATTATGTCTGTTTTTCTGCCACCTCTCTGCTTCTCAATAAAGTGCTCATAAATGGGGAGGGCAGAGATGTGAATCAAGGAAGTGATTTTGAAAAGATTGCCGGGTATGAGAGGAAATGAGACCGTGAGAGTGAGATAGTTTGTGTGTGTACGTAGGAGAGTGAGAGAGATGGTTGCATAGAGAGCGTCGTGAAGATACCAAAGTGATATCAAAAAGCCTGAGTTAAAAAGCAAAAGTGTGAGGTGGGGTTAGGGTGGCAGAAGTTGTGAGTTTGACATGTTTAATAAGCACGGATGCTGTGTTCAGTTCAGCCGTAAAATACGCAGACATTGTTTAAGCATGCGGTCACAGAGAAATAAAGGCCATAGCTCACAAGGATGCACTGGCAGACTAACGTGAAAAAAATTCACATAGTTTTTCTGCTTTTGTCCAAGCATCCGTCAATAGTTGAAGTAAATGTCGTTTTCATGATTTCTCGCACAATATTACAACAGTGAATGGTATCAACTTAATTAAAAATGTCACGAACTTTCAATACTGCTGCAGGCATGTAATTACATAATGGTGCAATTCTACCTCAGTCTGATAAAAGCTGTCAGAGTTAGATTAAAGTTCTAACAAGAGTGTACAGATACACTTTCAACTCCATATGTTATACTCTTATGGTTTAGCTTTTCTGATATAGCAAACAAATGAGGAACAAGAATGAGCTATCTTTGTATTCATAAGCTTGAATTAGCAGCATATTGATTGATTCTCCGACCAACCATCTGCTGATAAATTCATCTGTCTTATTCAAGCATGACTGCAAAACCAATTCATGTTTTGAAGTGGAACATGAAACCACCACAGACTGTATCCAATTTAATTTGTTAATTTTTAATAAGTTGAATTCAGTTGGCTCTATTGGCACAATGTTCAGGGTTAAACATGTTTTGCCAGAGCAAAAATACAATCAATAAAAACACATTAACAAAGCAGAGTATTAAGCTATCATACTATCCCTCCTGGCTCAGTGACATGCAGTAACATACTGTCCAGCTACTGTAGCTCTATTGTCAAGCTGTCTTCACCTAGAAGAATCTGGATATGTTTGTCTACTAGATCTAGAGGCCGTATGAGAACTTTATCTCAACTTCTTTTGCTACTCTAGCCCCCATCCCAGCTCTTTTTTCATTCTGTATCTGATCTCACCAGTAGCATATGTATTGCTACTGATGCCTGCTCTGTTCTTATTATTTTTTTTCTTGTTTTTTCTGCAGGCTTTGACATTTTTATGTGAGCATGAGGAAGAGCAGGAAGCTCTCAGAATGCAGCCATACTGCCACATATAAAATAATTCAATACAATACAATTCAAGAACTTTATTTATCCCTAAAGGAAAATTCATTTGTCTCGAATCTCATTTCATCTACTATTTATGGAAGAATTAAAAAGACTGATGGCTGCTGGCACAAAAGATCTTCTGAATCTCCTCATCCTGCTGCAGAAAGAGAGGAACCGTCCACCACTGTTATTTTTTGGTCCATCAAGATGCTATTAAGTGGATGACCCATGTCTTTAAGAATGGTCCCTACCTTCTTCCGTGTGCATCTCTCCACCACATCCAACTTGATTCCAATCACAGAGCCTTCTTTTCAAGATGCTGAGTCTGTATCCTAGCAACAGTATCATGGAGAACATCACACGGAACTTCAGCTGTTGCCTTTGGTGGGATGTATACATGTATTTTTATGATATGACTGAACTTCCATGAAACATACAACAGTTCAATATCTGGACAACACAGCTTCTCCTTGATGGTTTTGTGTGAAGAATCAAACCATCTCTGGTTAACAAGTCAAGCCAGACCCCTTCTTTCTTCTTGCCACTGGCTTTAGCATCTCTGTCTGACCATATGAGAGTGAAGCCAGGTAGATCCAATTATAACTTTTGCATGCAAGTTATCATTTCTTATGACGAAAGAGGACCTGACTGAGGTCTATGTGTCTGTAACAGCCAGACAAGAGTCAGCCAAACATGGAAAAATACTGTATTACACAGATTTATTGTTTGTATTTGGATTAAATGAACTGTTCAAAAGGAAAAGTTACACTAAAAATACAGATTTGTTTAAGTGTCACTATTGAACTGGTTAGATGACAGTGTATTGTAATGTAATTAATGTACTTTACGCTCTAAAAAGGTGACCTTCTAGTGCCATTATGTTGTACACTCACACACAAGCACAAGCACTGCACAAATACAGACATACAGGTACAATTCCTCTCCCTTTCTTTATCACCCTGTGACAAAATTAATGACAATATCAATCAATCGAGCCAGTGCTAAATATTTCACTAATAGCAGCATCCACGTGTTGTGACAGTGACTCAGTAAGTAATCTGTGGTGTCTCATTGTTAAGGCAGACATGTAGACATCATTGGCAGAAATAAATGAGCTTAGTTTGTACCATTTAAAATAATTCAGTGTAAGTTTTATGTCCTTTGGGGGCAATTAGCACTCAAGCTTAAGTGTGCCATCAAAATAATTATAGACTTTTTATTGCCTAATTATAATCTATTAATTAGTTGATATATTGCAACAAGTATTTAAGTGATGAATTGAATTTGCATATAAGAGTTGCACTTAGTTAAAAAAAAAAAAAAAGAAAGAAACTGAATAGCTGTATGTGCCATTTCAACATGTTGTGCCTTTTTCAGTTTTTAATTATCCATAGGTTAATGAATCATAGATGGCTCCAAATGTTAATGTTTGGATTTCCAATTACCGGTATATTGAGCCTGTTTAAAAATCCAACACTTACGGAATGATTTCCTCCAAATCTATGAAATAATGAATTCTTGATTGCAAACTGAGATTTTTAAAGTTAACATTGAAGATAAATTACTAGAAACTTCTTAGTCACTCATGCAGCACATATTTCTACTAAATGCTCCATAAACTGCAAAATAAACCAGTATAGCAAGATCCTGGTACACTGCATAACCATGCAACAGGGCCTCTACACTAACTTTACACACAAATTGCTCTCATTTTCAATCTCTTTTTTACTGAATAATCTGGTAATCTGGAATTTCATTACTGTAGAATAAATTAATCTTAACTTGCAAATTTAGGGTTGTTGGAATGTCTTTTGTCTTTGTTGGTTTTTGTCTCATCGGTGTGGTATTTCACTGTCAAATCCATGTCTAACCGATGGTTTTACCTTTTCCCTGACAGTGGTGTGACTTGTTTACAGGTGAATCTCCCAGGAGAGACTAATAATATCCACATCTGAAATATCCCTGCTACCCTCCCTTCCTTCACAGCACACCTCGGCTCATCCAGTGAAAGTGAGATGGAGGAAGATGGACGGAGAAATGGAGGATAGGATTTGTGGAAAGGAAGGAGGAAACAGGGAAGTGTAAGTGATGGGGTTATTGTGGAAATTCATCCTTCACTCTGAATAACATCAAGTATGTGACAAAAAGAAATGTAAAGCTAAACTAACTTCATCAAATAATACTGATTATTTATTTGTTAATGGGTTGAATCCATGACTAAGGAAAGTATTAAAAGTATCTCAGTTTTTATAATACAATACAAAATCTAGAAAACCTCATGAAACAGAAAAACACAAATTGTTCTTTTTTCTTTCAACCTTTTGCAACTTTCTCTGTTTTTCTGTCTCCTTTTTCTCTTTCTGTCTCTATACATCACTCTATCTCACCCACACACACACTTATTGTGTCCTTCATATTCTCCTCTTCTGACCCCAAAGTGCTTCGTGATTGCTGAGACTTAAAGCAACAAATTTTAGACCCCGAGTGCAAAACTTTGGGTATGTAAATTTGTGTTAGTGTGTATGTGTGTGTTTTGGTGTCTGTCTATCCATGTGTTCATCTGTTTTCACAGTGAAGTGTTTGTGTGTGGATGCAAGTTCTCTCTCCCTCTCTCACTCACTCACACACACAGAGCAAATATACACATCAGCGAATGAGTTATTGCAGAGGCTTCTGAAGGATCTGCGGCTGCATGTGCTCAACGTGCTGCGGAAGCTCCAATAAAGAGGGATGAAGAGGAGTGTGGGAAGAGGGTGGAACATTGGACTGAGGCAATCATCTCCCCATAATGACTATTAAATCTACGCCAAAATGTGAGCGAGCTAGAACCACCACACTCAGCCTTCAAAGGGCACAGCACTAACTTTGGATGACTGCGTCATCGTGCAACAACAGGCGTGACAGCTCCCACAGAAGTTCTTTCAGTGACCTCAATGTTGTGGTTCTTAGTCAAGTTACGATTACCATAATATTCTCACTCACTCAACAAGACCAAACAAAGGATCAATAGACATATGATACTAAAACCCACACATTACAACAAATTTCCAGATATTTTTACCCAAATATTTGTTTAACCTCCTAAGTATGAAGTTTTTAAGATGTTTTTTCCATCCCTGTGTTTGACGTTCTTTCTTCAAATAGTTGCAGGAGGTACCTATCCTTATCAAAACTTTGATAAAAACAGTGCGCACAACATGCCAAGCATTAAATAAAAACTACACAAAGCTGGTAAACCGAGGAATACACTGTAACCAAGGTAACAGTACTCAGCTGTTGGTGTAAACCAAAGTAAAAAAGTTAATTAAACTTTGTTGTGTTAATAATTTATCATATTATTTATGATTTATTTAGACCCAATGTAAAGATGGGATAAGATTAACCTTTCGCCTTTTAAGATCAGACCCACTCCTCTTCCATCTTTAATCACATTAGTGGAGCACTTAGCAGCATTTTGTAACAGTGGCAAGGAGAAACTTTCTTTTAGCAGGCAGAAAGCTTGAGCAGAATCAAGGTTTCTGCCTGGTGAAGAGAAGTGAAGATGAGTTCAGTAGTTTTCTTACTTCATTTTTTTTTGGTTTCTAGATTTACTTAGATAGGAACAACAAAAGTGAGCGAGCCTGGGAAAGAAATGTGCAAGTTGATACAAGGGGAATTCCTGAAAAAACAAGTACACACACACACACACACACATACACACACACACACACACACTCACACGCGCACACACACGCACTCACACACATAAACTGACTGACCCCTACAGTTCTCACGACATCTGTTGCCACGCAGTCCAGTTGGTTCAGCAGGAAAGCCACATTGATCCGCCCTCGAACATAAGCTGAAATCACGAAAATATTTAGGAGTTGGCCCAGAAAGAGAAATACTGTTTTCATGAAGGACTTTATTACTCATCCTGGAGAAACACTGGACATGAGTTGCTTTAGCGAAGCAGTGCTGTTTTAATTGAAATTTCATTGAAAGGTAATTAGAAGTATTTCTAACTGACCTGTCCTTTGTCCTTTGTCCCGTGCTTTTGCATTACGTATGTTTGGAGGGCAGTCGACTGAGATGTTGTTGTTCAACCTACCGCCTCATAGACAGCTGGTTCTAGGTTTGAATTCTGGTAGGGGCCTTCCTGTGTGGAGCTAAAAGTGTTGGATCTTTTAGCTGGGGTATGGAGCAAGCATTTGAGTCACCACAATCTTCCAGAGAGCGCATAAACCTGGAAAAGTAGGATGCTGTGGTGTGGCAACCCCTTAGTGTGGAGATTACCACTGATGTCCAATAATATGAAGATCCCAGGTAGTGAATCGCAGCAGTGAACCACTCATATGGAGCGAGTGTGGCCTTGATTCTATGTTCTGATTCTGAGGTGGGGACCATGTTTTTGAATCAGCACAAGAAATACTGTACAAGAAATATAGATTAGAACAAATGAGCACTGCAAAGGATGACTCATTATGCTTACACACACAGTTTAGTTGAGCTCCAGTCAAAGGAAAATTAGATGATTTAATCAGACCACTATACTTACACCAGTTTACAAGCACCAGAGAAGAACCGAATTATTGATAGAAGCATGTCTGCCTCTGCTTTGGTAGGTGCCACCATGCCCCCTTCAGTTCTTTACAATCAGGTTGTTTCCTGGTTGACCTGTTATATAACCAAACAGTTGGTAAAATGCATTAGCATGGGATGGAAAGAACAGTTCTTTCTCTGCACTGATTCGTTAGAAGACTCTGCCCACCCGCTAGCTGGTTGGCTGGCTGTGTGTCGTTCACCAAAGAGTCAAAAGCAGCAGTTCCACTCCTGACCGACTGAGCTCAGCTGAACTGAGATAGGAACGAATCAGGCCTTGGAGTGATTCCATTCATGTTGTTCACTCAGCAGTTCCGTTCTTTTGAACGAATCGTTCATGAACGACACAACATTATATCCTTGTTGGTGTTAGCAAGAATCTTAGGCAACACAGAGGCCATGTTTACACAGAGAATTGTTTTAAATCAGTAACCTGACCTTACTTCAACCAAAGCCTTTAAGTTACCTACATACTGCCACTGAATATCACTGCATAGTCATTGCATAAGGATTGGTCGTTTTATCTGATAGACTATTCAAACTGAAATTGAATAAATGTGCTGGCAGTAAAAATGTTGTCAGTATGTTGGAAGTATGTTCAGGATCTATCAGGTAGTTTCATTGAGACAACGTGTGTTTGTTGGCGACAACTTTCTCAACTCGAATTAAACTGCTGTACCTGTTTCTACAGTGATGGAACATGTCAGAGTTTTTTCAACAGTGTATTTTTAATACTTTTGCCACACAACAGGCCTTCTTGACAGCAGACATTTTGCTTTGTAGTGTATGAAATGCACAGGTGTTTCTAATAACAATAATGGCTTTTTTTGTATTCATCTGTCTCACTGAGCCATGACAGGGTGACAGCAGGCCGACATGCACAATACCAGGAGCCTGAAACAGAAGCAGCTTAATTGAATTCAGCCATCATTCATTTCTATTATTTATACCTCTGCCTTTCCAATGTGACATGTCAAAATGCCCACAGTGAGAAAAAAATAGAAGCATGGAGGTCTACATAGGGAACAGAAATAAGACACTGTATATCAGGCTTTGGCTTCACAACTCTTTAGTTGGAAAAAAAATGTAGTTGCTTTAGTTGTTTGAAGAATATGTTGACAGAAACAGATGTAAGAAAATATTATCAACTAGAGGTTTTCACTTCTGAAGCTTAAATAAATGCAAAGTCAGGGATCAAATACCGAGTTTCTCTTGAGTTTGTTCTGCTTCAAACATTTATATACTACCCGACTTCTATAACTTTCTATAATCATGTAGCGTCAATGGAAAAGCAATGTAGTGTCTTTTTTTCTCCCTTACCACAAAGTTGTAAAGCCTTTAACAGTAATGAGGCAGTTGTACTGTGTTGGGAGTTTTGTTTAACATTAATGATGACAATATCTTGCAGTTCGTGAGGATGCCCCCTGCCATCTGCACCACCACTGTTCCCAACACTCTGCTGAGTTGAACTTTAAATGCTGTGAAATGTATCTTTTTTATTAGGATGTGCTAATATGATGTTGTATAGAAGCCTCAGGCACATTCATATTGGTCTTCATACTATTTTGCAAGACAAAGTATTACAGCTTAGGTACTTTTGATCTTCTGTGAATCTCAAATCTGTCTAAACTCTGGTTAAAATCTAGTGAAAACTATTCTCTGTTCTGACAGGTAATGGGAAAATCAGTTCTGCATTATAGCTGTAATTTAGCACAGCTTAATCACTGTTTGTAACACAGACAAAGCTCTTTTAAAAGTAGGATCTGAAAAACAACAAAAGAAGAAAGAGAGATGAGTTACAGGCGTTGAAATAACAGAGAAAGAAAACACCAAACATTGGCTGTTTGCGGTTTTTCTTTGTCTAATGTTTTGCACACTCTCAACTGGCAAAAATGATGTAGTCCCTGTGAAAAATAAACATTAGCATCATAAAGCAACACCTGACACATACATTTCCTCTATGTGTTTGGCAGTGATGGTCAGTAATTCTGCTGCATTCACTCTGGCTCTGCTAATTGTTTTTTTTTTTTTTTTAATTTATGCCGTAAGGAATTGAGAAAGGACCGTCTGTTGACAGACTGTAGGCGGACACTGCTAGCCGGGATCCAGCACCATGGAGCTCTCGTTTTTGTCTTCACCCACATTAGTCACATGGGTGAGGAATAAATTTGAGTGAAAACACAAATGGGGGTTCTTAAAGCTGTGCCAGGCTTAGCGACTGTTCATGTTGAATTTCACAACACTGTTTTACATGTATGCTTTGATCATTTCATAGTAGGAGTGTTTCTGCCCCACCACACCAATAAAAATCTAGTTAATTTTAACTTGACAGTATTGAAAAAAAGCGATTCTCCATTCACTTCTTGAAGCGACACTTGATCAATGAGTGCCTTAAAGGGATATTGCGGCAAAAAATTCACACAATTCAAACACACCATGACACTGAGTTAGACACCCTGTCGAGAGATGAATGTTGCCGACCGCTTGCTTCTCTAGTTATACCAACTTTAGTTACGACTTTAGTAATACAGAGAGCCACGCGCTCAACCAAAAAGCCACTCGTAGCCACACATAATGCTCAGAACAGCACCTAACTTCATCAACAGGACATATAGGGTCCCAGCCATAGTACTAGCCAACAAACATCTTTTTACTTTCGCCTAATTTCTTTAGCAAAGAGACTAAACACAACTCACCTACTCTCTTCCAGCAGCCGCTTGAAGAGACACTAAGGTAGAAGAACTACCGCGTCTGCAGTGCAAAATGATTAATATGGTGATTATTACTTCAATGAAATGATAAAGTAATGCACATAAATGTTCCTCCTTGAGCTGCGTCACCCTGCAGGCCCGAGGTCTCGCTACAAACAAGCGGCTGCTGGAAGAGAGTAGGTGAGTTGTGTTTAGTCTCTTTGCTAAAGAAATCAGGCAAAGTTAAAAGGATGTTTGGTGTCTAGTACTATGTCTGTGACCCTATATGTCCTGTTGATGAAGTTAGGTGCTGTTCTGAGCATTATTTGTGGCTATAGAGTGGCGTTTTGGTTGAGTTTTGTTTATGGCTCCTCAGACCGCAGTGTATTGCTATCGTGCGGTCGTTACTAAAGTTGGTATAACAAAAGAAGCAAGCGGTCTGCAACATTCATCTCT